AGCGGCGGCTGCCACTGCAGCCAGGGCGCGGCGGTGGATGGCAACGGCAGCGGCCCGGCGAGTGCGGCGGAGGCCGCCTGGTGCAGCGGCTGCCACGGCAGCCACGGCGGCGCAGTGGCAGCGATGGGTGGCGCAGCCGGGTGCAGCCCGTAGGACCCGTCCAAGAACAGGTAGATCTCCTGGACCGCCTGGGTTAGGTCTCGCAGCGCCCCGGACACCTCCTTCGGGGTGAGGACGGCAGGGGCGGGCCCGACGGAGGATCCCGGCGTGGGCAGGAGCGGGGCGACGGTCGTGGTGGTCGCCGGAGGCGACGAGGTGACTGGCAGCGGAAGAGACGGGTTGGGCGGCGGTGAAGACATGATCGAACCGAAGCTAGCTGATACCAAATTGTTATGGCGCTGCTAGAAGGAGGGCGCGAGAGGGCCGGCCAGGGGCCTTTTGCCCACGGCCGGGCAAGATGGAAGGGATTTCCTTCTTAATTCTTGCTTGATTAGATTGATACATCTCCTCTCTTTATATAGAGAGGTTTACTTGACTCCCAAGCAAGGCTTACTTGACCCCTAAGCAAGCGACCCTTATCTCTAATTAACCCTAAGACTAACGGGCTATACCGCCAGCCCAGGCCATTAGGCCCATTACGTACTCTAACAATCATCTATCGCGACGGAAGAATCGCATTAATTACAGAGAGTATCATTCTTTTCCGGTTTTGACTATAGCGTGCGTACTGCAGTTATAAATACCTCAAGCGAGGATCACCTTAATTTAGGGAAAGTACCATTTTATGTGGGCTCCTCCTAAAATCTCTCGTTTCCTTTCCATCATATTCACGTTCTGCCACACGATCTTACCTGACGATGTCGATGTGGGACGTGCCATAGACTCGTGACTTCTTTGTTGAGGCACTCGTAATTGATGCTGAATCACTAAAATATGTTTGCTCCCGCTGCAACACACGGGCCATTAGCTAGTAGGAGCAAGAGGATAGTCCACAGGGCTATCAAAGTAGCGGGGGTTTCACTTGATATTCTAGCATGAATAGTAGCGGGGCAGTCAAATCAGAATTAGCAACTTTTCAGCTTTCCCAAAGAATTCTTTTTTTCATCAACCTATCATTTAGATTTTAAATTTTGTGATGGTAGATACATCTTGTGTCAAAGCTATTTATATTTTTTTGAAAAATTACATGATTTTTTGGATGTCCATTCAACCTGATTCCACCTAAAGGGCATAGTGCATATAAGTCTTTCACAACTTGCCATTGCTCATTGCTTCACCTCTCTGTTCTTAGGTAATCATGGTACGCCTTAAAAAAATCATGAGAAATTTAGATTATGTACCTCAGAAAAGGTAAATCGCAAATCATGCTTGCAAGAACTAAAATAAAAAGATAGGAAAAAAATCCCTCACTCACTCACCACCAATACCTCTAAATAGGCTACCACCCCTCAATGCACAATCTGCCACTCTTTCCAGTATTCATAGCCCCGAAATCCAAATTTGAGCCTGTCGTATGAGACCAAATGTGTTAAAATAAAGCAATCTCTCTATTTCCCTCTCTGATCCTGCCTAGAAGTTGTAGCAGCAACAGGCAACAAATAGAGGTGACACATAGTCAAAGACTAGTCATGACAAGTTGGCAAGTTGGTGGCATGGCGACACAACTCAATTTTAAAACTTACAACCTTGTTTGATGGATATCTTGAGGTGGAACCAACACTGGAAGTCTGAGCAGACCATCAAAGATTTGTTTCAAATGCTTCAGCTTTTGCGAAACACTCTTATAAAGCAAGTTGAGTATTATAAGGACAATGAACATAACCTAACTTTTCTGAAACAAAATAAATCTTTCATGGAAAGAAATTATGTCTAAAAAATACAAATTATGCCCCCTAATTAGGCCTTCACAAAATTAAGAACAAAATCTAGCTTGCAGACCACAAGTACCAACACAGATACTACAGAAGGCAAGATCATCAAATTTACCGAAGATTTACTGGACGTTCGCATTAGGCAGGTTCATCTGAACAACGCTGCAAACACACCTCGCCCGCATGTAGATGTAAACCACCCAATAGAACCCGCACTGCACAAGCAAGCCCGTCTAAGACTGTGCTACATGCACCGCCCGAACCAACCTAACAAACCTTAGCAACCCACTCCAAGCAAGCTCATAATCAAATGCACAAACACCTAGTGAGCAATCATACAATACATGGTCTTAACACTCCTAACCCGGTAAAGCTTATCAGCCCCATGCCACAAACTCGTATAAACAATCGCGCTAAGTAGGAACACCTAAGTTCTAACAAGAGATATCGATCGATCAAAGAGATGGAGGCAAGAAGGCAATCCCACTAACAGCTTGCACGCAACCACCTAGCCCGCAACGAAATTGAAGCCAATTTAATCACACGCGATGGGGGCGGATGGGAGGCAGACCTGGTGGCGGTACAGACCGGGGACATCGAGAGCTTCGACGTCGAAGGAGTCGGCGCGCGGGCCGGTGCGCAAGAGGCGCTGGCGCAGCAGCGCGTCCTCCTCATCCTCTTCAGCGTCCGAGTAGCCGCCTCCACCGCCACGGGAGCCCAGGGCGGCCGTGGGGGTGTCTGTGCCGCCGTCGCCGTCGTCCGAGCTATCGATCTCATCCTCTTCATAAGCGCCGCCGGGGACCACCCACCGCATCTCCGCCGACTCCGTCTTCGGCAGCCTCCGGCCGCCGCTGCTTCCCGTCTCCATTCGGATCGAGGTACACAGCTGAGAGGCGCTTGCGTGGGGTTCTACGGGTTCGTGTGACGGCAGGCCGGCAGGGGTCTGAACTCTGAAGAGGGGAGAGGGGAGGCGAGGAGAGAAGAAACGGAACTGCAGTTGTAGGATACAGCTGTGCTGCTGAATTTTTCCCTTTTTTTTCTATATCTAATAGTACTACATAAAAAAGGAAAAGCCTACGTCGAACTTTATTCATTTGAAAAAGAGTTACTACTCCGTCCAATCCATATATTAATTGACGCATATTTGGTACAACTACATTTTTGACTCAAAACTCAGGATCTCTATTACTTTACAAAGATTCGATTACAATCAGCCACAAGGGTTCTAATAAGAAACCCCAGATTTTCGTCGATCCAGCAATCTGTACTACTAATTGTGGTTGCATGTTTGGCACATAAGTCAGCCGGGGAATTAGCCTCCCTCATAACATGACGAACCGAAAAAGATGCAAAATGTTGAAAATCTTTCCCCTATTTCATCAAAGATAGGCGTCACAATTGAGCGATCATTGTGCCGTGATGACAACAAGAGGTTGACAACCTCTAAACGGTTTGTCTCCATTATCACATGTGAGAAGTCCCTTAACTGGACAAATATAACTCTTTGTAAAGCCAAAATTTTAGCTATAAATCGATCGGTTATCCCTGAAAACGGTTTGCTCCAAGCTCCTTGGAAACTGAGATGCGATCTTGCTACACCTCCTCCACCTCCATTCTAAGAATCGGAATCAATAGCACCATCGGTGTTTATCTTTACCCAGCCCGGTTCGGGGGTCTTAAACACTGTCCTTGCCGCAATTGTTGTGTATCTGGAGGCATGTCCAGTACTGAGAGATCATCCCCGATCCTTTTTGACCGTATGAACTGGATCAAAAGGCTCCTTTTCATGTGTCCAATTGTTACGAGACGTTCATATAATGTGTATGGCCGTGATAATTTTGCATCTGTCCTTGTCACCGAACCGTTGGTCAAGCACAATATCTTTAGCCCATGTGTCCAGATGGAGTTGAGGTAGTTTAACATCCAGAACCTTTCTGGCCGCCATCCAATAGCTCCTAGCATGGGAACATGATACAAGAGCATGCATCATATTTTCATCCATTGCTTCACAGAGATCGCATCTAGCAATATGTCTAATATGTCGATGCTTCAGTGTAGCATCTGGAAGAATTCCTTGAAGAACTCTCCATCAAAAGACCCGAATTCTCGGGATTACCTTGAGCTTCCATAAAGCATACCAGAGGTGAACATCTGACAATGAAGTCCCTGTTGCCGCCCTTCCTCTAGAGCTCGATGCTTGTCGCGAGTCACAAGAGCGCGGTATGTTGTTTTGACTGAATATTCCCTTGATCTTTCCAAAGCCCAACTCAAGGTATCTTCCACACCTGACGCCCGCAAAGGTATGTTGAGAATGGCCTCTATGTCTGTCGCAAAGAAATTTCTCCTTACTGTTTCAACATCCCACTGTCCGTGTTGATTAATGAGGTCCGAAACCAGATTCAGGTCCTCATTTTCTATTCTTCCTATAGGCATCAGTGTTGCTATGGTAGGAATCCACTGATCGATCCATATGGGAATTGTTGAGCCGTCTCCCACTCGTTTCAACAATTCTATTTGTAGCATTGTTCTCCTGGCGATAATCGCTCTCCATGTTGTAGAAGATTTAGTTGGAGCTTGAGCCTGCATAAAATCACACTCCGGGAAGTATTTCCCTTTGAGGACATGTGAGCATAGTGAATTGGGATGTGCAATCAAACGCCATCCTTGTTTCCCAAGAAGTGCCAAGTTAAACTTCTCAAAATCTCAAAATCCCATGCCTCCTTTGATTTTTGGTGTAGCTAGGTTCTCCCATGAAATCCAGTGTAATAAGCATTTGTCGATAGAGCTGCTCCACTAGTACTTTGCCATGCAAGACGTCAATTGCTTACAAACTTTTTTGGTTAGTTGAAAACAACTCATGTTGTGTAACGGGGTGGACTGAATAATGGACTTCAGATAAACTTCTCTCCCTGCACACGCAAAATTCCACTCTCACCAACCTTTCATTCCTGTCCGGCTTCTCTCGCAGATATGTTCGAACGTGTCACTGTTGATCTGTCCGACTGCAGTGGGAAGGCCGAGATATCTTTCCGTAAAAGCCTCCACATGTATCCCTAATGTATGTTTCATTGTTGTTCTGACAGGTTGTGAGGCATTAGGACTGAAATATAGAGAGCTTTTTTCTCTGTTCACTGCTTGTCCCGAACACTCAGAGTAAATGTGAAGTATGTCGTTCAAACGTGTGGCACTTTGTACTTGAGCATTGAGAAAAATGAGACTATCGTCGGCGAAGAGTAAATGATTAATCCAATGTGACTGAACACTTACTCGAATGCCACGATCCATGAAGTTGTCACCATAGTAATTCGTCAAAAAACTGAAACCTTTGGCGCACAACAAGAACAAAAAAGGAGACCAAGGATCCCCTTGGCGTAATCCTCTGGACGGTATGAAGGAGGGGAGTAGACATCCATTCACCTTGACTAAAAAACATACAGAGGAAACACATTTCATGACCAACCTAACGAACTTGGCGCAGAAACCCAGCTTGATCATCATCGCTTCCAGGTAGTGCCACTCGACTCTATCGTATTCCTTAAGCATATCGAGCTTAACTGCACAAGACGTTGAATTACATATTTTCTTCTTCTTCATGGCGTGTACACTCTCGTATGCAACCAGGATATTATCAGTGATTAATCGTCCTAGTACAAATGCGCTCTCCTCCATACCAATTACCTCGTCCATAAGACCCTTTAGTCTGTTTGTACCAACCTTGGACGCGATCTTGTAAAGAACGGGACAAAGAGTAATCGGTCTAAATTGAGAGATCTTTTCGGGGTTCCGTACCTTATGTATCAATGTGATCGACGTGTCATTTAGACCCGAAGGAAGATCGCCCCCATTAAGAAATCCCAAAAGGGCATGTGTCACATCTTCGCCCACTATCTTCCAATGTCGTTGGAAGAAGCCTGTTGTAAACCCATCTACTCCAGGGGCCTTCGAGGGAGCCATTTGAAATAGAGCGTTTTTTATCTCCTCTGACAAGTAATCCTTGGATAAAGAGTCGTTCATGGCTTCGCTAACTCGGCTAGGAACATGCTGCAACAAGAGTTGCATACCATTGTATCCCTGAGACTGATACAAAGTTTGGTAAAATTCATTTATTTTTGTTTTCAGCTTGCCCGGATCCACGCTGATTCTCCCATCTCCAAGTTGGAGAGAGGTAATCCTATTATCTCATTTTTGCTGGGCTGCCTGGGCTTAAAAAACCGCATTCCAATCACCAGCTCGAAGCCAACGAACCTGAGAACTTTGTTTCATCCATATTTCTTCTTGACGAAGGGCCTCACATAGCTGAGCAGCAACCATGAGCTCTTCCACTGTTGGGCCTCGCCCAACCGAGGTGGCACGGAGGCGTTCTAGTCTAGATTGCAATTTGCGAACCTTCTTAGCCAGGCTGCCAAACTCGCGCTCACCCTAGGAACCGAGACGTTGTTGTACTATTTCTAAGGCAGTCAATACTTCACCAAAACCTCTCTGGCCAGACCCTGTGAAGGAAATATGCCCTAGAGGCAATAATAAAGTTGTAATTTATATTTGCTTATATCATGATAAATGTTTATTATTCATGCTAGAACTGTATTAATCGGAAACTTGATACATGTGTGAATACATAGACAAAACACAGTGTCTCTAGTAAGCCTCTACTAGCCTAGCTTGTTGATTAAAGATGGTTAAGTTTCCTGACCATAGACATGAGTTGTCATTTGATGAACGGGATCACATCATTAGGATAATGATGTGGTTGACAAGACCAATATGTTAGATTAGCATAATGATCGTTAAGTTTTATTGCTATTGCTTTCTTCATGACTTATACATATTCATTTGACTATGAGATTATGCAACTCCTGAATACCGGAGGAATATCTTGTGTGCTATCAAACTTCACAGTGTAACGGGGTGATTATAAAGATGCTCTACAAGTATCTCTGAAGGTGTTTGTTGGGTTGGCATAGATCGAGATTAGGATTTGTCACTCCGAGTATCGGAGAGGTATCTCTGGGCCCTCTTGGTAATGCACATCATGATAAGCCTTGCAAGCAATGTGACTAATGAGTTGGTTGCGGGATGATGCATTACGTAACGAGTAAAGAGACTTGCCGGTAACGATATTGAACTAGGTATGAAGATACCGATGATCGAATCTCGGGCAAGTAACATATCGATGACAAAGGGAATGACGTATGTTGTCATTACAGTTTGACCGATAAAGATCTTCATAGAATATGTATGAACCAATATGAGAATCCAGGTTCCGCTATTGGTTATTGACCTGATAGGTGTCTCCGTCATGTCTACATAGTTCTCGAACCAGTAGGGTCCGCACGCTTAACATTCGATGATGATTTGTATTATATGAGTTATGTGATTTGGTGACCGAATGTTGTTCGGAGTCCCGGATGAGATCACGGACATGACGAGGAGTCTCGAAATGGTCAAGAGGTAAAGTTTGATATATTGGATGATAGTATTCAGACACCGGAAGTGC